AGTCCCACCCGCCCATTTGCGCGAGGCCCAGACGAAATGCAGCTTTCGATACGCAGGAACAAGTGGCTGACGCTTGCGGAAAAAGTCAAATGAACATAAAACGTCACTTGGAGGCTCAGGGGAGGATAGAAGCAAACTGTTTCTTGAATCACCATGCGAAGACAGACGAGAAGGAAAGGTCAAGCAAGTCCAACAGCATGCGAAAGGGCCCGGGCATCACAGAGCCTTTCGTGGCTAAGGAGGAGCCGAACATAACCCAAAACGGCTTGAGGCGAAAGTGACAACAAACTAATTAATCTGCAAGCGTCTCTGGCTCTCGATCATGCTTTTGGACCCCAAAGCCTTCGGCTTTGACAAAGATTCCGGATCTCCATAGCCCGAGAGCCGCAGTCTACACGCTCGGATTTGGACCGATCCGATTTGTTTGAGACGTGTTTGCAGCCGACAGGTCCGGACGCATTTTGCTGCAAGAGGCTGCCGAAGCTGCACAGGAGCCGCATCTGGATACTTTGAATGGGAAACACCCTCAATGGTTCGTGGAAATCATGCTCATGTGAAACATTTCCATCAAAAGGTTCACAGTTCAGAAATTCATACCCTGAGAAGGTGACATTGGAGTGCATGTTGAGCAAGTGTGACGGCACACACACACACACGTGATGTATGCTTCATGCTGTTTTGGTTCAATCCCAAAGTCAGAGCTAGACCCTCGCGCAATCGGAGCAGTGTCTGCGACTTAGGCGGAGGCACGCACAGTTTCCGCTCAACATGGAGCCGGTTGCATGCCTCCCTGAGGTCTAGAACGGCTTTCGAAAAGCCGTGGATGAACAGATGCCTGTCAGCATCTTGTGTCGAGAAAACCTTTGGCTTGCCCTTAGAGCAAAGCTAGCTTGAGGCAACACTTCACGAGTTTGCATGCATGCCTTCTGCTTGCCTTCTGCTTCATTGTGATTAGCTGAATGAGACAGTTCTTGTTCTGCGGTTCTCGCTATCTCCAAGGCCGCTTGAGCTGCATCCTTGCATGTACCTCATGGTGTGTGACGCTGGCAGCACCCCTGACTGCTGAGACTCTTGGCGTATAGTTGGTTTCCGGTTTTCGCAATTCTCGCCTTGCAATGAGTTTTGTTTCACATTTCTGCGATCCCAATTGCAACCTTGAGTGACAGGGCTGCGGAACCTTCGTTTGACTTGTCAGCTTGTCAGCTTCTTGTGAGGAACGCTCCGTGGAACATCAATATCGAGACCAAGCCGGGAGCTAGACAGCGCTGGACTCATTTTCGATTCACTTTCTAAGGCATGATCCGGCTCAGTACAGAGGAAGGTGGCCGAATCATCAGTACTTTCCATCTCCAAAGGACACAACCTAGCACTTGCATTTGGCTTGATGTGGCTTGCACGTGGCTTGATGTAGCTTGCACGTGGCTTGTTGTGGCTTGACATGCCTTTGTGTGTATGTGTTTTCCTTTGATTCCCTCGTCTTGAAGGATTGGCGCTCCCTCACGATCTACCAGTTGCTTACGGATCGCTTTGCTGACGGCGATCCGCGCAACAACGAGCTCCATTCCGGAGGTTTCGACATCCGAGATATGACGTACAGGCCTGGCGTGTGGTGTAAAAGCTGGGCTTTTCTTCCCATACCAGCGTGCAGGCATGGTGGTGATTTTGTCGGCCTCAAGAACAAGCTTCCCTACATCAAGGGACTAGGCTGCGAGGCACGCGACGCTTGAGATTGATTTCGACGGGTTGTCAAGAAGCGGCCAGATCGCAGGCCATTTGGATCTCTCCAATTTTTCAGAATGGACACAACTTTTACCATCAGCTCCCTGGCTTGTGGCACAGATGTAGCCTATTGTTTGTTTAAGGACGAGAAGGGGGCGGACTTGCAGACCCAACTGCCCCACCGTTAAGATCACCCAATCTTCCCATGTCCGAGAAAACCTGGCTAATACTTCTCGGCTCACACTGAGGTATGCGATGCTCGACTTCACGGTGCTGGATCGCAGGTTGGGCACCTTGCAGGAGCTGCGGGACCTTGTCAATGCCGCCCACGACCTGGGCATCTATGTGATCATCGATGATTCTTGCTTGAACTCAGCGATCCTTTTGGCCGGCTTCCCACCTTGTTGCTTTCAATAAGGTAAGGAACTCAGCTGACTATGATTCGTGGTTGGAACACTCCCCATGGTTGGAGAACGCCCCATCGGAGGTCCGAAGGATCCTTTAAACTCAGGATGAGCTTATGACTTTCATTTCGCCGTCTCTCATTGCTTCCATTTCCGGAGGCTCGATCACAAAATCATTTCATATGGTTTCAATTAAGCGATGTCTCTTGCGCAATTAACATTCAACCCCCCCCCAAACAGCAAGCCAAGCCTGGAAAGCTGTATAGCCTGCAGTTTGACCAAGTGAATTTGCCTAACGCCTTTGCAGGGGACGGGGTGCGGGACAATTTTTCACGCGGTTCACACCATGCCCGTGAGCAACACTCAATATTGCACCGCACATGCTAGGCAAATTGCCAAGTGAGGACACACCAAGATTTAGGGTCGGTTGCGGACCAAGTCGGTTGTTGATCCCGGTTCAAATTTTTCTTTGAACGACGCGGTGTGCCTCGACTGTGAGGTTGTGATGAACCACATGGCCAACGAGTTCTACTTCGAAGGCCACAAGACAAGTCAGGCACCGTGGAGGTTCCACGAGGATGGAGGGCTCCGGGAATATTTGCTGAAAGCAAGAAAAGCGGCTTGGCTAAGATAGGCCGACGGCAGAGTGTCTCAGCTACCTAAACGAGTTGGTGGTTTGAATTAGTGGCTTGGATTTGGATTTGGGCCCTGCTTCTTGTAGAGGGTGACTGGCAAACCACCCTTAAACCTCCAAATCAACAATCCAAACCACCAAGTAGAGGGAAACTGATAGTCACTGCTTGTGCATTTGCCGGAGTTGGATCGTCCCAAGATCAGTGAACTTTATGTGGTTCGACAGCTCAGGAGGAAAGCGGACTTTTTGACACTCCTGCCGGCAAGCAACCATACCAGGACTTCTGGTACGACAATACATGGGTGTCTGATGCCAAGTACAATGGCACCCTCTACGGGCAATATGGGGAATGGGTGGTGGATGGAGGACAGGGTTGGGTTTCATATTTAAACCAATAATTATAATCAGCTTCCTTTTGGTGTCCCTTTCAAGGGAACCAACCGGGTCTGCTTGTTGAAGCCAATCTCGCCCAACTGATGGAGGATCTGGCACCTATGAGGAGTCAGACTTCCATCACAACGGCGACCTTCTAGACTATTTCGATCCCTGGCAGATCAATTATGGCAAGATCTACGGTGTCATGGATGACCTTCGGTTGGAGCATGATCGTGTCTTGGCTGCTATTGGGTTGGATTTCTATTGTATGGTTTTGTTTGCGGGGGAGGGCTGCGTGTTTTGCACTCGAACCGGGGGCAAAAGCCAAACTCAAAAAGGTGTCCAGCAGAAGTACATCGCCATGACAAAAGCTCTGATCGAGAGCTGTGACATTGATGGCTTCCGAGTGGACCGGGTTTGGTGCTTTTGGAAATTCACGTGCTGACCTAAGCCTTGACCGTCTACTGGCATTCGGTGACCCTTTTTTTATTATCGGATACGGGAAATGGAGCTTCGTGAATTGGTCAGGGCTCTCAATATAAGTATCGATGGCTCATCACGTGGCCCGTCAGATGCCAGGACACGCCAATGCAAGTTCCTCTGAACTTCTACAAGGTTTGGACTCCGGCGATGCGAGACCATGCTAAGTCCCTCGGGAAGGAGCGATTCGGGATCTTTGGGGAGTTCTACGTGACGCCCTCGCGGTACGCAACAATGACTGGCAGAGGGCGTGATAGCACGATGTGGCTTGCCAGAACTTGTGTCAAATCAGGTTTCGTTTTGGTTTCTTTTAAGAACCCAAACCCATTTGCTGGGGCTGTGCTACATTTTTGGTGTTCATCCTGTCTGCTAAGGTATGGACAAGATGTGTTCATCGATGATATATCCACGATGAAAGGCGGCATTGTGTATCCGTACTATTGGTACATTTTCACAGCAATGGTATACAAAGATGCATCGTATGCTGATGGTTTGGTGAAGGCCTATGTCGAAGAGAAGAAAATGATTGACACCTATGACCCCACCACTGGGCGAGACGAGTATGCCATGTGGACCTTCTGTAATAACCATGACAACTGGAGATTGCAGTCGATGGTAAGCAAGCGAGCATTCCACATGTGCCTTGCCGTCATCACCTTTTGGCCAGGCACTTAGAAAGCTGTGAGACTGACCAGGTGAGGTGCGGCTGATATGGTACACATGGGTGTGTATTGAGGGTCCCTTTTGGTAAACAGTTGGAACTTTTTTAGCGGGAGCGAAGAAGAAAGCCATGGGCCTGTGCCCTTACTGCGGTTTTCCGCTTCTACATGAAGGTCACACTCGAATGGTCACTTTGGACGTGAGGCCTGGCATTCCTTTGCACTACGCCGGAGATGAACAAGACTTCGACACCCCAGGAAGTGCATTGGATGGATGGGCGCGCGAGGCGCTTCGCGGGCCAAAAGATAAAAGCTAAATTTGAGTGATTAGAGCGACCCGAGGGTAAAGCAGGCGAAAACCCATGAAGGTGCTTTACCGGAGGACCAATTAATTTTCCGTTTGTGAGATATCATAGTTTGCCTAGAAGGGATCCCGCATATTCAAGCATTATGTTTTGAGCCAAGTTCTGTGAGATGACATTTGATGTTCAGAATTGTAGTATAGCATCCCCCGTGCAAAACTTGAAAATGGAATGTTGTCGCACACGAGCCATACAGACTTGAGATTTGGAAGACGTGGATCTGTCCTGTGTCCTATATCATCAGAACTAGACAGGGCATACTCGTACACTTGCACCATAAGGCAGATGCCAGTGTGATTAAAGTTCTTTTTTGTGAACTAGCCTGCCCGCTGCACCATTCAATTGTAGCAAGCAGTGGAAGCCCCTGCATTTTATGCTTTGTCCTTTTCGTTGGTCTGCCGTCAATCCATTCACTATCTCCATCCCATCCCCGTCCCCATTCCCATCCCCCTAGCCGCCCCTATCTCCGTGGCCGCCCCCCGCGCCCATCGCCAATGGGTCAGTGAGGGCATGTTGAAACCGAGCATTTGCAGCATGCAGCTCTGCAGGCAAACAGCTAGCGTCAGCGCATGTGGATGTGTTTGGGTATGTTTGCAAGTATGCACAAGTATCGAGTGTAAGCTGTAAATGACGACTACATTGTGCCAACTATGTGCGTGGATTTGTGTCGCTGCGGCACCTTGAGTCATGTTTTGATACTTGGAAGGAAAGCGAAAAGCAGCTTTGGAGTTTTGCCACCCACATCTTGGTAGGAGCTGAGCACGTCACTGGCGTGGCAAGCAGTTCCTACGCGGCCAGAAGGAAACCCAGCAGACGGCGACAACTTTGACATGAGTAGCGCTTCCTACCGCTGCTTCGCTGCATAAGTCCTTTGTCCAACTTCTTTGATGACATGAATCTGTCTTTTTCTTTTTGAGGGTACCATTTTCACCTTGGTTTGAAAGGGAAACCAGAAGGGACAAGTATTTCGAGGGGGGTCCGCTATTTTGATACATGCCCACATGCACAGAAGTGAGAAGGCCACGTTTTCCGTTGTATTTGTTGACAGTGTTGCGAGGATATATTGCTCGCTTGAATGCCTTGCGGCGTGCATACTTTGGCGACTTTGGTCAAGCTGAGTGTGATGAGATCACGGCACCAAATCCCCAGATTTCTGGGGTTCTGGTTTTTGAGCGGGGCTGCAGCAGTGACAGCAAAGTCTTGGTCATTGCCAGCTTTGACACGGTGAGCAACAAAACCATCCGAGTTCCTGTTTCCTGGCCCAGTGGAACGCAGCTTGCTGACTCGCTGGCAATCACTGATCCACTGATGCTCATCGTCAGCCAACGCCGTGACATCAGTGTCATGCTGGACCCCTTGGCTGCTGTTGTGCTGGTACCCATTCCAGTGTATGGTGTTCCGCCAATGGTCACGGCTGTTTCTCCGTCGCATGGCTCCACTGCGTCTTGGTCTTCCTCCGGATATCAGAACGTGACTCTTCGCTTCGATCGGATTATGAAGCCCTCCGTGATCAGCGCTGCACTGTGGGATGGGCAGCCCGCCAACTTTCGCTGTACTGCTGATTGTTCAGAGATCGCTTTGGAGCTGGATATGGCCACCGTTGATGATGGCTTCCATACGGTAGTCATCGAAAAGAGGGCCGCAGCTCTGGATGGTCCGCAGCTATACGTAGACTTCAGCTCTACTTTCATGGTGGACCGCAGCATGGGTGCAATCGCCAAGCCCCGGCAGCACCACATGTCCGGCCTGATTTGCTCCAACTTCACCCAACTCTGCCACAACGCCACAGGTGCTGACTGGTTGCGAGTCAAGAATGTTGGTGGGGCATGGTCTGAATGGCGGGCAATGGAGGCGGTCAGCGACTGGCAGAGTGTTCCAGGAGAAGCTGTCCTTGTGCAGTATCATGCCCATGGAAGTGCCAGCTTTGTTGTTGGTGACTGCATAGGCTTGGAAGCGCCTTGCTTTGCTTCCTGGCACCAGTCCATGAATTTGCGCGGCGAATTCAACGCATGGGGACAAGCCGAGAGTGGCGGCATGGTGAAGATTGGCCACTATACCTGGGCGACCAACTTAACGCTGGACCGCTTCGTGAAAGCGAAGTTTGCGCCTTACCAGGACTCTCCTTGAACAGATCCAACAATTCGAAACATGAACCTTTCCACTAGAGCAAAAGGCATCTGCATGTTTTTTTTGGGTAATGTTCAGGTGGATGTAAGATGCCCTGTCAGGATTGGGCGGTGTCGTATGGCATCCATCCACCGAGGGAGCTGCTTTACAACATGCCCTCGTTCGATGACAGGTGGGGCAAAATTGGTTTGAACGTCCAGATCTTGGTACCCCTCGAAGGGAACCAAAAGCAGGTTGATGGTTGGTTTTTCACAAGGGGTTGAATCGACGATTGGAGCTTTGTTCAGGGGACCCCCCCGAAATGGTGGTTTCCTTTTGGTTTTCCTTTAAAAAACCAACCCCAAAAAGGCACACTCAAAAAAGCCACACCCAAATGGACCTCAGGTACCACACCTTCAGCGTGGAGCCCACCATGTCGGGCTCCGAAGCCAGCCGCGAGTGGATGGAGGAGCGGAGCTTCTGGACGCCGCAGCAGAGTGTGGCATCAGGCGATGTCAAACAAAATGGTGTCTTTTTGGGGAACACTTCGGTGTGGCTCAAATTTTAAGAACCAAAGGCCACAGGCTTGAGTCCACTTTTCCATCCGGGGTTCCATTGTGGGCTGATTCCTATTTTTGAGCCTCCCCGTCTTTTGGGTTGCCACACCAATCCTTTCGGTCTCTCTCAAGGAGAAGGAATGAGAAGTCCTTGGCTGGCGGTTGGCTATAGAATCATAACATGGCCCGCCCATTATTTTGAAATCTATCTCTATGTATCTTTTTTGCTATCTATTTGCACTACATGCACATATATATATATATGATTATATATATACATATATAACTACATGTATATAAGACACAGGTGCAGAATTCGCCACGGAGATTTGGCTGAACCACATGTGCACTGCGGTGTCTCCGGAGTGTCAGCCTGCAGAAGATCCGCAGTGGGAAGGCCATGGCTTCAAGCCTGGCCAAGACCAGGAATGGTGCCGCACGGCGGGGGTGCAGAATTGCGTGGAGTACAGAGAGAACGACAACTCAGAAGCTCAACCAATCAGTAAAAAGTCAGACACCTTTTGCACTTTCTCACTTTCGGTTCCCATTTTTAGTGGCAGAAGGTGATCACCTGAAGATTTCTGGGTCCTTTGGGCAAGTGAGGAAGCAATGAGCAATTGCGGCGCCTTCGCTTGTTGCAGGAGAAAGGTTAGCTCTGTGCCACGTGGTGACGCGGCCACTTGTTGCGTTCTCTTCAATGACCTCCTCCTGAACTACACAGTAACCTCGGACTTGTCCAAGTGCTCGCTGTTTGGGACCACGCTGACGACCACGGTGCCTCTGAAGCTGTGCGAGCCCGCCAGCATCGATCTCGAGTCCGCCCGGGCTGCAGGTAGGACTCAGCCTTCCCCCTACGAGCCGGATGCAGCCGAGATCGGCAAAACGCTTCACTGGAGCCGAGATCGCAGCTTTCTCGAAATACGTCCATTCAACTCAATCTTGCGGGGACGCAACACGCAACTTCACTTGTCTTTGTAGCTCAAAAGAAAGGTTGTTGCGGGGTTGTTTTCAACAAAACAAGAAGCTTCACCGAAAAGGGGCTCTGTTTGACCTGCTTTTGTGGGGTCACGAGCAAGGCATCGTGGAGGCCGAGGAGGACTTCCGCGCCTCGGGCGCTCAGCGCCTGGCGTCGCCCAGCTCGTGGAGCCAGGATGTGGCGTACAGCATCCTGGTGGACCGCTTCGCGAACGGAGATCTCACCAACGACGAGGCGATGTGGGACAGCTCCCCCCAAAAATGGGTAAGAGCCCGCAAGTACAAGCGAAGGTTTGGCAAAAGTTGCTTGGATCTTAGGACTTTAACTTTTTGGAGGGGTCAACCCGCAAGTTCCCGCGTGTCAAAGGGGAGCAAAGAGGCACTTGTGATGGGAAGATACCCTTTGGTAGCTGCGGCTTGATCAGTATTCCTGGCCCCCAAATGACCACGGGTAGCTATTCCCATTTAGTGAGACACAACTTTGTTTTTTCCAATGGTCCCGTGTTTACAGGACCTTTTGATCAACCCCCAACTGTCAAAAATGGGGGGAGAGCTCAAGTTCCGCTCCCGGGCCGAGGTGAACCTCCCGGACTTCCAGGTGGCAGAGCTGAAGAGCGGCCAGCCTTGGTCCATCCACCAGTGGCGACATGGAGGAGACCTGCAAGGAGAAACGGGGGCAGAAACGGGGGCCGTGGCAAGAAGCAGAAGCGTCGCGTTCTCGAAAGCCATGTGTTTCAAAACGGGGCTTGCACCTTTCCCCCCGAAATTCAGAGAGACTTTTCCCTTGAGGTTTCCAAGTGAAACTACACCCTGAAAAGTCACACACACACACAGTGCCCCCTAAAATCGAACATGGTGAGGCTCTCCTTTGTCTTCGCTTTAAGAAAACCAACCACAGGGAGTTCCAGATCATTTTGAGCAACTTTGTCGTTGAGCATCTATGAATCACTATGGTTTGAAACACCTCCTTTTGGTTTCGGGGATCTTGCGGGCCTGGGTTGTTTTTGACCATGCCCAACCCGAAGGAGTCAAAGGACGTCTGACTTACTTGAAGCAACTTGGGGTTTCAACCGTGGTGTTGTCCCCAATCTTCCTGAATGCTGCTGGCGAGTATCATGGGTTCTGTACTTCAGACATCTCCAAGATCGATTCCGGCTTTGGGAGCCCGGAGCTGTTGAGGGACTTGATTGAAGATGCCCATGCGCTGGAGATGCGAGTTCTGCTGGATGTTCAAGTCAACCATGTTTGTGCGAAGGGCATGAAGTACAAAACTACTCCAGTAGTGGAGCAGGTCAGCACGTGCATCAAAGAGACGGAGATGGCGTATTGGGGCATAGATCGGGACTTCCCCTTCATACCCAGCGAAAGTCGGAAGCACTTGGAATGGGGAGACCTGCCGACATATTTGCAGCATGACTCGTTCTTCATCAGATGCGGTCCCAAGGCGATGTACAGGCCCAATAGCGTGGACTTTACGAAGCTGGGTCTGCAAAATGTGACTGCCATCGATGCAGGCTTCACATTCCCAGAGTTTTTCTCGGATACCTACTTTGAGCTCAATACCATGAGCCCTGCGCTGCAAGAGCTGTACACAAACTTGCTGAAGTACTGGATAGCATTTGCGGATGTTGACGGATATCGGATCAGTGCTGCGGCTCACATCACTGCCGACTTCTCTGCTTACCTAGCAACCAACTTGCGCTTCTATGCATCAGCTCTTGGAAAGGACAATTTCTTTATAGTCGGGGAGGTGCCACAGGCCACATCGCCATTTGGCTTCATGCAGGTAGGCAAGGTTCAGCCTCCTCAAGGGCCCGCCTATTTGCCCAAGAAGGTTCAAGGAGTCATGGACACTATGTGTCCGTACTACAGTGCTCTTTCGCCTGCCAAGCCTGGGTTGCTGTCCAGCTATCCTTCGCAGGAGTCCTTCCTCATTCGGGAGATTGCTGGCGGATCATCAGAACCTATGGCGTTGTACGAGCGATCTGATTGGTATGAGTCCGTGATGAGAGGCCGCCACACGCTTGAGACACAGGCCGATATTAGTCTCAACATGATCTCCGCAGAAACCAAGGACACTCCTCGTTTGCTGTCCCAGCAGGGCGGGCACCATGCCCAAGATGTGTGGCGCTTGCAGGTGGTCTTGGCTTGGAGCTTCACGTGGTATGGCATCCCCGAGATCTACAACGGTGCCGAGATGGGATTCAATGGCTTGTGTTTCCAGGATAGATCGGAGAAAGAGCGCATGCAGGCGAGCATGATTGAGGCGGGTATTGAACAGGAGGTGGTGGAGACGATCCTGGGTGGATGCGACTACACCGCTCTCGCCAACATGATGGATTCCGGGTTCTGGCGTCAGGACATGTTCTCCTCTGGCCCATTCAGACTCGGATCTGCAGTGCCCAGCGTCCAAGCACAGGCACACCTGCGACAGTTCTTTCACCTCTTCAGGAAATGGGCGCGCCTTTTGCGAGGGCACCCCTGGTTGAAAAGCAAAGAAAGGGGAATCTACCCATTGCGAGGGTTACCCTAGTTTGAGACAAACCCATATCGTGCACCAAGCCACTTTGCTCGTTGCAGGCCTTAAGTATGGTCAAACTAAGAAAAACACATCGGGACATGGGGGGGGGACAGTCTACATTTCCCTCAAATAGAGAACCCTGACGTGGGTGTGCCTTTTTGTTAAGGGACCCCCTGAAAAAAGGACGCGCCACACAGATATTCCCATGGCTGTTTCTCAAAATCAGGGACCCCATCCAGGTTGGTTTCCTTCCCCTTTAACTACTAACCAAAAGGGTGTCCACCATGTTGAGAACCCCCCCCCATGTCCAGTAGCGCAGTGGCAGGCCGGCATGGAGAAGAAGTTGCAGGGCTCCAACAGCCCGCACTGGTGTGAGGAAGGGGCAAAATGGGAAGCCGAAACGAGGTTTAAAAAGGATGTTGTAAAACAAAGACCCTTTAAGGAGATATTTTCTGCGCCTGCGGCCTCTAGCCGGCTACGCCTCTTTGAAGTTATACCATGTCATGTCATGCTTTTTGTATGAGAAACGTATCCTGTGCTATGATATGGCTGGTTAGGTTGTGCATGTTGCCCACCCCAACCCCCAACCCAGAAGGCTGACATGGGGTCGTGCGCGCGCGCGCCAGAGGCCCCAGAAAAGAGCAGCCCAAAAAGAACAGCCCGCAAGCCAGCCCGGAAAAACAAATGCAACAACACACCGTAAATAGCAGCGTTTTGTGGCTGGGATCGCGAGCGCGCGCCAGAAGGCCCGAAAACCAACGGGAAAAAAGCAAGGACCGCGCAGCGCGCGAGCCAGCCACAGCAAAAGCAAAACGGACAGAACAGCAGCCCAGCGCTCAGCACAGCAGTTTTTGACAGTATTTGCAGCGTTTTGTAGAGAGAGGACCCAGCATCGCCGGCATGCCCGCCAGCGCTTGGCGCCAAAATGCGCAAAAGTGAGCCTCGCTTATGTCCCTCCGATACCTTCTAACAACAGTGCTTCATGGGTTAAGAGGCTTTTTGGAAGGAAGTCTTGATGATGCAGACCAAGCCCCGCTGAAGCATCACCCAGGCCCAACCCCAGACCCTGATGATGTCAGCCACATGGCCTAAACCCTGCATATACGCTTCCCACAGGCAAGCAAAACCGCAAGCCCGAGCTGGCGATGCAGAGGTGCCGGATTTAGGCAACGCGTCACGACCAAGTGACGAGGGTCCGCGGCGCACGGGCGCAGCCCCTATAGCTGAAGCTAGCAGGCAAATTGCCTAGCGGCGACATGCTACCGCAGGAGGAGCCGGATCCAAGGGCTGCCACCCTGCGCCGCCGCCCCCGGCTTGCTTATAACAATTATGACTACGCGTTTTTGTCGGGTTTAACGGCGCACTTAAAGCATATATGAAAAAGAAGAGCGCCACGATAATGAACATGCTTTTGATGATGCAAATTATTTCCCAACATTCGGGATGCTGATATTTATTACTTTGCATTCGCATTATCGCCAGCAGTCATGATGATGCTTGAAACTTTGCATTTTTTGCATCACCAGCAGTTGTTATGAGAATTTTGACGACGCGTTCCCTGCATCTCAAACAAGCTACTGCAGGATTAATTCGCATGATACTGCAATGAGCACCTTGTTGGATGTTACAAGAAGTGCTGCAAAGAGTGGACCTTGTGTGTCACCGGCCACGCATCTCCTGCGTTTCCAGTCGGGTCATGATGATGATGATCCTGATGATCCTGATGATAACCATCACGAGCAGTTATCATGACAGTCATGACTACGCATCCTCTGCATTTCCAGTCGGGTCTAATGGCACCGTGTATGAAAAAGCAGAGTGTAACGATCATGCTGATGATCATCACTATGCATCCGCTGATGATAATCGTCACTTTGCGTCCCTTGCGTGTCAAGTCGGGTCATGATGATGATGATCATGCATGACGCATCCCCAGCATTACCAGCAGTTATCATCACTACGCACCCTCTGCATTCCAGTCGGGTCCAACAGCACACTTGGAACGTATATGAAAAACAAGAGCGCCGCGATAATGGATCATCACTGATAATCATCACTTTGCACCCGCAGCATCGCCAGCAGTCATGAATTCCACTTTGCATGGGCTATGATGATGATGAATGATAATGATGATGCTGATGATCCTGATGATCATCACTACGCACCAGCATCACCAGCAGTTGCCGTTGAACTATGCATCACCTGCATTCCAAGTCGCCGGGTCCAACGGCGCGCTTGAAACGAATATGAAGCAGAAGAATGCTGATGGTCCGGATGCTGCAAACCCAACGTCAGTGGTGATGATAAGCATCACGAACGCAAGGACGACTACCAACCCTTCCCATGCACCGGCGGATATATATATATATAAATATTTCAAAATATGTGTCACGGCCTTTCCCTTTCAGGCATGTATTTGTGTAATGTAATGTAATGTGATGAAGTGTAATGTAAAGAAATGTAATGTAATGTAAAGCAATCCTATATAATGTAATGTATTGTAGTGTAGTGTAGTGCAATTTAAATATGTATGTATGTACGTAATGTGTGTATGTAGGTAGGAATGAAGGTATGTAAATGCGAGGTCAGGTCAGGTCAGGTAAGGTAATGTAAGGTAATGTAATCTATGTATGTAATGTAATGTAATGTAATGTAATGTAATGTAATGTAATGTAATGTAATGTAATGTAATGTAATGTAATGTATGGTGTAGTGTAGTATTGTGTGGTGTGGTGTGGTGTAGTGTAGTGTAGTGCATTGTAGTGTAGTGTAATGTAATGCAATGTAATGTAATGTAATGTTTTGTTATGTTATGTACTGTAATGTGATGTGATGTGATGAAACGCAATGTAATGTAATGTCATGTAATGTAATGTAATGTATGTATGTATGTATGTAATGTATGTATGTATGTAGGTAGGTAGGTAGGTATGTATGTATGTATGTGTGTATGTATGTAATGTAATTCAATGTAGTGTAATGTAGTGTAATGTAATGTAATGTAATGTAATTCAATGTAGTGTAATGTAATGTAATGTATGTATGTACGTACGTATGTATGTATGTAATGTATGTATGTATGTATGTATGTATGTATGTATGTATGTATGTATGTATGTATGTATGTATGTATGTATGTAATGTAATGTAGTTCAATGTAATGTAATGTAATGTAATTCAATGTAATGTACTGTAAGGTATGTAATGTAATGTAATGTAATGTAATGTAATGTAATGTAATGTAATGTATGTAAGGTGTGTAATGTATGTAAGGTATGTATTGTATGTAATGTGTGTAAGGTATGTATGTAATGTATTTATGCAATTTATGCATGTAATGTATGTATGTGTGTATGTATGTTTCTATGTTTGTATGTTTGTATGTTTGTACGTATGCACGTATGTACGTATGTACGTATGTGTGTAAGGTATGTACGTATTTATGTCTGTGTGTCTGTCTGTCTGTCTGTCTGTCTGTATGTATGTACGTACGTACGTACGTATGTATGTATGTATGTATGTATGTATGTATGTATGTATGTATGTATGTATGTATGTATGTACATATGTGCGCATGTGTGATTGCATGTGTGCATATAATAATGTTGCGCATGTAACCTAATGTAATGCAGTGTAATGCAAGGAAATGTAAGGAAATGTGATGTGATGTGATGTGATGATGGGATGTGATGTGATGTACTGTATTGTACTGTACTGTCATGTAATGTAATGTGATGTAATGTATGTATTCATTGAATGTACGTCTGTTTGTATATGTTTAGCACTCGTGGGTTGGTCATGTTTAAGCAAGGGTTGCCAGGACCCGCTTCTGGATCGCAACAACTCGCTGTACCATCTGACGCGGGCGCTCATTCGGATGCGCAAGGCCTGTGTCCCCCTGCAGTCGTCGCTGGACTTGCCAGCCAAGGCGGTTGATGGCCACCAGGATTGGGCTCGTAGGTGTCCTTCTTAGGTTGGTTTGGTTGAAAATGATGGGTTTCCCTTTGCTCTCTATGTTTCCCTACCTGGACACCTATGATCGGGAAGCAGCATTTCTCTGCCAACTGACATGGCTTTCAAACGCCCCCAACAAAGAAACTAAAATCGGGAACCGCAGGAGATGGCCTACTGGAAGCTTCCGAAGGAGAACACCACGGGCGATGAGCCGCGTGCCATGCTGGTGGTTCTGAGGATGGTGGAAACGCCCAGCCTGGAGTATTCCAAGTACGCCTTCCCCGAGATGGCTCAACCCTATCCCGAGGCATGGTTTTTCCGGGTTTCTCCGAGAACCTGATGAACGCAAATTCCACTTTGGATTTTTTAACGGGTCCACCGATTTTGAACGCCGAGCACTTCTTATCTCGACTTTTTGTCCCTAAGTTGGTTTGGATGTGGATTTGATTTGCTTGTAGAGTCGAGGCTAAGGGGAAGCCCCCCCCAGCCTCTCAGCGTCTCTCAGGGCCAGGCTTTCGTGGATTTGTTCAACCCAAAGCGCCTGGCCATCGTCTTCCGAAGTTCCAACGCCAGCTACCTCATGGTCCCCCAGAACTTGGACACAAGCCACATGGCCGTCTTCGCGCCCCTGGGCGCCGTCACCGAGGATGGGGTATATCCGAGAAGTAACAACTCCCCTTTTCATGCGGAAAACACAAATCACACCTCATCCAAGCCGTTTGGTTGCCTGGCTAGAGTCTTGCTTCATATTTGGGTGTGTCTTTTTTGACAGAAGCCAAAACAAACCAAAGGAGAACCACTCATTCTTGTTTTTTGGGGCATCAGAACCCTGGAGGATTCCACTGGGTTTTTGGTGTGCAAGGGCGTCACCTTGCCGCCTTTGGAGGAGTACAGCTGCGAGTCCCAGAGTTCGTGGTTTCCTCTTTGGGGCACCCTGACCACCACGGTGGTCTGGGCACTGGCGCTGGTGCCTCCGCCAACAAAACATGACACGCTCGCAAGGGGATGGATGATTCTTTTTATGCACTTATTCACACTGGGGTAGGTCAATGTCATAGGGGTACCAAAAACGATGGTTGTCCTTTTGGTTTGCCTCTTAACCAACCTAGAAAGGGCACCTACCTTCAAACAACAACAAGACCAGACATGCCCCACCCCCCCCCGCCGGGGGCACAAATTTTTGGGTGGGCGCCAGGTGGCCATCTTGTGGTTCAATGCCCAGACCAGTATCTACCTTAGCGTGGTCATGGAGCCAACGCCGCCGTCCATCTGCCAGCCCGCCGGGCTCCGAGTGGAGCCGCACCATATTTTGGTGGCGGCCATCGAGCACACCATCCCAGAGAGGAACGTGAAGGCGGGAACAGGTGTCTCAGTCCCCGTGTGGGTCGCCCAACAAGTGTAAACTGAAGTTTCTGCAAGTTGAGAGCGGGCATCATTGTTCCAACTGACAAACAATGCTTTTTTTCTCCTGTTTTCTCCTGTTTTCTGAACAGCTGAATGCCTTGGGGTCTCTGCCCAAGTAAGCTCCGGGGTGGAGACTCTTTTAGGCAGGCTTCCGGAGATTCGGTTCCAACAGGTTCGGGGGATACCACCTGGGCTTATTTTGATGCCCCGTTTCGCATTGATTCACAAACCAAAAGGCAAAAGGAACACCAAAAGGCATTTTTTTGGGTAAGTGTCTTTTCTTTAAACAATAGGGGAGTCTGTTCTTTTGGTGGTTTTCCTGAATGGGGAGAAACAACTTTTCCATTTTTTCTTGGAAGTTTTATGCGGGTGTGTCTTTTTCAGGGGTCCCCCCAACATGGCGGAGTTCCCTTTCTTCCCTCAAAAAGCACCAAAAAGGGGTACCCGCAAGAACCTCCACATGGGTGTGTCTCTTTGGGAGACCCCTCGCAAATAGTGGTTTCCGTTTGGTTTCCCGTAGAAAAGCAAACAAACAAGAACAGCTACCCTCCAAAAGCAGACAAACACATCCGTATATGCTCCTTTCCACTTGCCTCAAAACCCCCCAAACAGGGCTACCCCCAAAAACGTCCATATACTTTCAATGGCTTTCCCAGTGTTTTTTTTTTTTTAGCTCTTGTCGTAGGTGAGCGCGGGAGGCCTGGGGAAGGTGCTGGATCAAATGCTCCGTGAGCACCCGCCTGGCACCATGAGCCTGGTGCACCCCATGTTTGGCGACGTGGACTACGGGCCATTGGACGAGTTTACGCGATTCACCATTGTGGTGGATGGCAAAGATCAGGAAACTTGGGGAATTTCCTCAATGGGTCAAGGGAGTCTGATATTTGTTTTTGATCAGGAAACTTGGGTGGGTGGGAGGAAAAACAACCAAATCCTCAAGGTTCAAATGGTTTAACCTGAGGGTTGAAGCACCCAATGAGGAGATTGTGGTGTACACCATGCAGAGCGAGCAGAACGGGATCAACCGCGTGTGGTACATCCTCAGCCACGAGCTGTTCCGCGAACGTGTGAAAACCGCTCCTTACCCGCCCTCCATGACCAAAGTGCGGACCTTGCGCTACTTTTCCCTGTGGAACCAAGCGGTCGCTCTGCTCCTGAGCGAGCTGAGTCCAGATGTGTATCACTGCATGGACTATCATGCGGCGATGGCGCCTCTCTACTTGTCCCCCGAGAAGCAAATTCCCATCATTCTGGTGCTACACAATGCTGATTACATGGGAGTCGTAGAGACAGATTTCATTTGTGACCGCTTCTGGAAGACGGTGAGCTCCCTGCGCCGCCTGAGCCTCATCTTCAACGTGGAGATCTCGACCATTCGCAAATACTGCATGTTTGAGGGTCGCTTCAACATGCTAAAGGCCAGGCAACCCGCATGAACATATGAAAACAGCACAATTCCTCAGCCCCGTTTCAGGCTGCAGTGACGTACATCCGCGAGACGCAGGCTGGGCACGGCATTTGCGGGGTGGCCTACAACTATGCGGTGGAGCTGAAGCGGGAGAAGACGCTCTTTGCCGGGCTGCCCCACCTCATTGCGCTGGATAACGCCACAGATCCTGCCGAGGGTGAGGAGGTTCTTTCGGCTTCAGCAAGTCTATTTTCCTCCTTTTCCCCCTGTTTTTCCTGTTTTTTTTCAATTTTCTTTTTGTTCTTCTTTTTTTTTCTTCTCCTGGGTTTTCCCCCAACTTTTGCTCCGTTTGCATGTCGCGTGCACTGTCTCCAGGCCATCGACCAACTGCGCGCCAAGCGCTTCGAGGCGAAGGCGGCGTTGCAGCGGCATTGCGGCCTCGACGAGGAGCCGGCGGAGCTTTCCCCCGTTTTGTGATTCCCTTTCTCCAGTTGAAAAGGGCCATCCCAAAAAAAACCGGGGCCGCTTTTGGGCCTCCAAGAGAAGCAAAAGGGCTTAGCAGTTTGGCCGCATTTTTGTTTTGGATTTATTCACAGCAAGGCTACACAATGACCCTATGAGCCAAAAGGGTTTGCCAAGGTTGCAGAAGCAGTTATTCACTTTGGGCTACTCGTTGAGAGACACCAAGTGAATATGGTTGAAACAGGTTGGTAGCCGTGGGAAAGGAAAGCGATGGGAAACTTTGAGGATCCGGGGGCGAAGATCTTGATCTTCATCGGGCGCTGGGTGAAGCAGAAAGGCGTGGACCACATCGCGATGCTCACCCCCGTCTTTCTGCGCACCCATCCAGAGGCTTAGCGAAGTTCCGTTTAAAGGTCCTCTGTTTTCTTATTTGGCAGTTTTTCAAACGCCACTTCGAGTGAGTGAAAGGGATCAAGTAGTCGGAAGAGAACGGAGCATTTCGGGATCACAAAGAGGTGTATTCGGTGCACTTTGCATGCCAGGTGCAGATCGTACTGGCAGGACCCCCCGATGACTCCTGTGGGCTCTACGCAGGCGAACTGCTGGCCGGCCTTGGGGACGAATTCAAGGGGCGCCTGTTTGTGTGCACGAAGCCGCTTGGCTTTCGGGTTGGTTTTGGTTTGGTTTGGTTTGGCTTGATTGGTTGGTGGGTTGGTTTCGCTTTGCCCTTTGTGTAACAGTGCTGTGTCTGTTTAGGCGAGTAGGAGCTATGTCCCAGGTTCTTCAAGCTTCCAGAAGAACTTCGTCGTGGTGCGCACTTGTGCTTCACTCCATCCTGTTCCGAGCCTTTTGGCTATGTGGACGTGGAGTTTGGCCTTCTGGGTGTCCCTTCGGTTGGCTGCGCCATTGGAGGTCTTGGCAAGATGCCTGGGGTCTACTTCCGGCAGCAGAACTCGGACGATGCCAAGAGCCTCATCGACTCTCGGCGATTTGGATCCTGACAATCGGGTAACCCCCACTTGGTGGTTTGGATTGGTGGTTTAAAAATCTGAACCCTTCTGGTGGAGCGTAAATAAGCACTAGCAATCCAACCCCTAATTGGTGGGAAGCTGAAAGAGTTCCACTTTTTGCTGAAGCAATCATCGCCCAGGACTCCTTCTTCTGCGCCGTGGACTATGCGCTGAACTTGCCTGAGAGCGACTACTGGGAGATGGCGCTTGCAGCGACCACCGCAGAGTTCCCATTTGACACCTGGCGAGAGAATCTCATCGGCGCGTACACGGAAGCGATCACGATGTTCCGAAGATCCGAGGGCTTGTCCCTCACTCTGAACCACCTGTGGGTCAGAAAAGGAGCCACCAAGGCGGTAGAAGAGGCAATGGCCCCGCGCAAAGACACCGCCCTGCGGCGAGTGTCGTCAACTGCCCAGGTGGCTCGTCAAATGCAGGTGCTGGACATTGATGATGATGCGGAGTTCTTGACACAGGGGGTGAGTGAAGAGCGTGTGGCCGAGATCATGAGGCAGGCTATGGCCAACCGCGGGAAGGTGAAAGATGCAGAAACCTTGCAGAGCTACATTTGTCAGGCCGAGCAGCGGCTGACGGAGAAAAGCCCTCTGTCTGTGTGGCTGATGAAGCCTTTCCTTCGTGGCCTTTGTTTGCGTATTCACGCGGTCATTGCCATGGGCTACATATTTTCGCCGGTCGGAGAGGTGGGTTTATGGTCAAAGAAGAGGGGTTGGAACCAACTGTTCTTTTCGGCGACACTGTTCAGCCCACTTTTGAAGGTGCCCCATTCTCTCTTTGGGACGGACGACACCCCAAGAAAGCATCCCAAGTCCTCACTGAGGCGCTCTTGAAGACGGTGGAAATGCGAGCGCTGACCAACTCGGGGGTCTCCGAATCTGCTTTGTGGTCGGTATTCTACGGAGGATCGGCAGTTGGGTGCGTCCTTTGGCTGTTTTTGTCCGGTGGCATCCCG